GACATTAGATTTAAAGACCTAACGGTGTTTTGGCTAATTTAGCTTACTTTGCAATTGCCCTTAGGCGTGGAGTGGAAGCAATGGCTATTGAATTACCTTTGAATTTAATGGGATAATTGGCTGTCCATTTATTTCTTTAAAATTATTCCATTCTAGTCCTTATCTTAAACATTCTTATTTTTATTAAATTTTAAGCCTTTTTAATTTTTGTGAAGGCAAAAAGTGGAAACCTAATAAACACATGTATATGTAAAAAAAAAAAAAATATTCCAGAATTTAGTAGCTTGAAGAACATACATTTATTATTTCTATTTTCTGTGTGTCAGGAATTGGCAAAATATAAACCTTGAAGCTTGTAAGACTGAGGACCCCAGTATTTTATAGGTGTTTAGATGGGGACTGCCCTTAATTCTTTGTTATGTTGACCTCAACAACATAGGAGGTTGCTTCATCAGAGCTAGCACTAGAGAGTTTGCTAGTCAGATGGAAGTCATTACCTTATGTAACCTAATCTTCATAGTGATATGCCATTAACTTTGGTATATTCTGCAGACCCTGTTTATGTTCAAAGGGAAGGGGTTATACAAGGGTATAAATACCAGGCAGTGGGGATCACTGTAGACCATCTTAGAAGCTGCCTACCCCAGGCATATTGGTTCTTCCATGGTGATGTGTTGTTAAGTTAGTACACTTACAACATGGGGTAGCCTTGTAATACTTACATAAAAAGAAAGATTCATGAAAATCTAGGTACCTGGGATGATCTATTCCAACTACTGAGGAACATTGACATGCTGTGTTAGAATTCTTCCTGTATCTGTGGGATCTTTTGCCCTTAGAGATTCTGGGACAAAAGCTTGAATAATCTTTTAAATTATATGTAATATGGGTATTTTCATGTCTGGAGCAGCTATAATTTGATCCTGTGTAGGGACAATAAAATTTGTAGAGTTTTTATAATAAAGAAGAATTTTTTTTTTTTTTTTTTTAGAGACAGTCTCACTTTGTCACCCTCAGTAGAGTGCTGTGTAATCACAGCTCACAGCAACCTCCAGCTCTTGGGCTTAGGCGATTCTCTTGCCTCAGCATCCTGAGTAGTTGGGACTACAGGCGCCCACCACAATGCCCTGCTATTTTTGTTGTTGTAATTTGGCCGGGGCTGGGTTTGAACCCACCACCCTCTGTATATGGGGCCGACGCCCTACTCACTGAGCCACAGTCGCCGCCTGAAGTATTCTTCCAATAATATCTCAGCTGTAGGCTAGCACATAGGAGTGTCTTTACTATTTAAGTGGTCTTATTAAATCTAGGTTTCTTATTTTCCATTAATAATGAAATTATTAGTAGACATAAAGGCAGCCATATTAATAAGAGAGAGATATTGCTTTCCTTGGGATTTCAAAGAAAGTACAAGGAATTCTTGAATGCCAGTGTCTGCCATGGAGTTAAGTCCTTGGAAAGATCTTAGGTAGCTGTCTGACTTTAGGCCAATGTTTTTTAAGTGACATTTCTGCTTATGATTTCTGTAAGTTACCTTTGAAGACATTCCTAGAGAATAGAGTATTTTATCTGGTTTACCTAAAGATCCACAGTTATATTGATATCTAGCTTATTTATTTTCTGAGTCTATCTGAAAATGTCTAACCACATATCAGATGTTTTATAAATTTGAACTTTTTCATTTTTAACTTTTTTTCCGTTTGATTTCACTTATTCAGGATGTCTAAGACCTTATACAGAAGAGAAGATATGGTCCTTCTCAGTCAGTTGCTGACTTTAATATTTATTAAAAGGAAAGCTTCTGAAAGTGCCTTATGTAATGCATTTTCTATTTTTGTTTTGTCAATTTTGCACCACTGAGTTATTTAAATCTTCACTTTTCTACTCTGCTGCTCTTCAACACTTTTCTTCATGAGAGGCTAACAATTAATTGAATTAATTAGGACATATTTGTTGTATGAATAATAAGTATCTTGTAAAAATCATAAATATTTTCCCCTGTATCCTTGAAGTTTAGAAAAAATCATCAGTTACATAGCTCTTAATTTGGCTCTAGACCAGGGTTTTAATTCAACATCTATAGATATGGCTTAGGTTCTAGAAATTTTAAAATATAACGTTCATTTCTAAAAAAAACTCTGAGGATAGAGAAGCGCCTTTAGGAAACCAGGTAAAGTTGCATAGGAAAAGAAAGAAATGCAAAGAGGGTAGATTTCAGAAGGTTACAAGGACCTTGACAAAAAGTATCTCAGAATTTTAATTTTTTTCAGCATGCCAATTAAAGAAGCTAGCCACTATTTGGTATTTTCTCTCTTTATTTGTCTAGCACTCCTTTCAAACATTTTAATTTATTGATTTTGTCATCAAATGTCTCCATATGGCCATTGTTATTCTAAATTATCTATCTATCATCTGTCTATTTATCATCTATGTTATCATCTACCTGGCCTTTATTCGGGAAACAAGAAAATGTAAGATTAAAGTGTGACCTTATACAGGAAGCAGTGGTTCTTCCAGAAAGAGGTTGAGACTTAGACAAATTCCTAATACACAAGAAGAGAGGGTCCTGATGTCAGTTAAGAGTCTGTGTTTGTGAGGAATGTTTTAGATTCCCAAAGCAAATAGGGTGTAGAAAAGCATTACACAATTACTAACTAATGACTGTCACATACTACCAACACAGGAAGTATTCTTGTAAAGATTTTTTAAGGAACTTGAAGCTAGGAGTGATCAATCACTGTTTATAAATTGATCGGCAATTTAATGACTCTCCAAACATTAGCACCCAAAGCTGGTTTGGATGGGACATGTCCCAGGCCTGTGCCTCCATCTGATCTCTACAGACCAGTCCTTCATACATTCAACAGAGAATGTGATTGAAAACAAAACAAAAACATGAAATAATACTTTGTGTATATAGGTAAACAATAGGAAAAGCAAATAAAACAGCAGGAGAATAGGCGGATATGGAAAAAATTATTCACCAAATGTGTGTATCTCCAAAGAAAAATGTTTGTTGACATTATAAGAAGCTTATGTTTAAATACCAAATGGCACAGATTAAAAGCAAAGGTGGAATTTCTTAATATAAAGATATAAGTGTAATTTCTTTACAAAAAGACCCAAGTTTAATGACCTTATATATATATATATGCGCCTACGTGAGTATAAATCTCAGCATAACCAAATAAATTCAGCACTGAGATCTCAGTAAAATTACCAGTGGTGGAATGTTGTGTCATGGTAGCTTGTGGGAAGGAAAGAATTTGGGGATGAGAGGCCCATGAGTGAGCCTGTTGCTCAGAACATCTCCTAGAATGTTGCCAGATAAGGGTCTTCAAAATGATCTTGGTGAAAGCTTTACGAATGTGAAAGATGGTGAACTAAATACATAAAATTTTACAAAGAAATGCAAAAGCTGAATTTATTGCTTACATTTGTGTCACTTAGTAAGGGAGAGCTATGCTAGTCAGATAAACTTAGTCTGAGTAGACAAGACTGCTCATCTTACCTGGGGCTTTTGGAAAGTGTGGAGCTTAGGGATTGAACAATTTTCAGAGCATAAGCTGGTTGACATCACCCATAGAAATGTAATTACTCATGTGAGACTGTTGTTGATTGGAAGGCATCATTCAGTAATGTGATTGTATCCCTGCCTGGGTGATTATCAAAAGCAAGGATTGACATTGTCTGGGTGGGATGCAAAAACACATTTATTGAGGCAAGTTCTTGTTGTTTGACCAAACATGTTTAAGACAGGTTCTGGGGGTTCTTTGTTGCTGTGTCTACAGAACTGAATAGTGCTTTCCAAAATTTATGAAAATGATTTTATTCTCATAATTTGGAAAATACTGGCCCAAACCAAACACAAAATCCCAAGGAGGGATTGTTTTCAGGGCCTGATTCGTTTTTCTCTCACTTGGAGATGCAAAATAGATCTTATACCTCATCTCGAGGGAAGAGATAAGCCGGACAGTTAGAAACACAATGTTGGTCTCTCCTTCTAAGAGATGGGTGCAGGGAGATTTCATGTTTCCTAGTATGTCTGTTAGAGGCTACTGACTCAAAGGGCTGCCAGATACAGATCATTCATGACTAAAGAAAAGAGATGATATTTAAGGTGAGTAATACAGAGTTATGTGATAAATAGAAAAATGAAGATTCCCTAAATAATCCAAATTAACTTTATGTTTGAAATGCTTTATTGGCCAAAATATACTCTGAGCTATACTTGCCTGTGGACAATGACTATGTAAAAATAAAAAATGTCGCTAGCTTATTTGTTACTAACTTATTCTTTTTAAAAATTTTTTTATTAAGTCATGTACATAAATCATAAATACATTTATGCCATTTTGGGATTCAATGTGTTGATTATTTGTACAAATTGGAGTGCTGACATCCTACTAATCAACATAGCCTTCACCTCATTTACCCAATTACGGCAGTAAGACATTTGTGTTCTACACCTGATAGATCCAACTTGTACTTGCAATATGGTCCCTAGGTGTGGTTCCCCTGCTAACCCTCCCTCTATCGACCCACCCCCTCTCCCTTCCCCTCTGCCTTCCCTTCCCTCCTTCTTCCTAGGCCATAGTTGTGTTTCATTTTTCATATGCAAGTGTGAGTTACTAACTTATTCTATTACATTATCGCCATTCACTGGAAATGCAGTTTTATTTTGTTTCTTTTTTTCCAAAAGTGTAAAACTGAGTTCCAACCACAGAGTGGCATCTACTTATAATGATGGTGCTGAGAGAAAAAGTTATGTTAATGCGTTCAGGAATGTCACTGTAGGTTTGTGATTAGATTAGATTTGGAGACAGTATTTCCAATGTTGTGTCTTTATTTGCGTAATAGTGAAGTGTCTTTCAAAAGCATAGAATGACACAAACCCTGAATGCTGCAGACATAGCTGTGTCTTTGGTAGCTAGTAAGCACTGTCGTTACCAGTCAGCGGGAACCTTGGATTCACCTTAAACAACTTTTTCTCCTGACAGGCTGTGAGCCCATCCCTGTCCGCTACCTTGAGTGGAGCAACATAGAGTCCATCATCGCCATCGCCTTTTCTTGCTTGGGCATCCTTGTTACCTTGTTTGTTACCCTCATCTTCGTACTATACCGGGACACACCGGTGGTCAAATCCTCCAGCCGGGAGCTCTGCTACATCATCCTGGCTGGAATCTTCCTGGGTTACGTGTGCCCCTTCACGCTCATTGCCAAACCTACCACCACATCCTGCTACCTCCAGCGCCTCCTTGTCGGCCTCTCCTCTGCCATGTGCTACTCAGCGTTAGTGACCAAAACCAACCGCATCGCACGCATCCTGGCTGGCAGCAAGAAGAAGATCTGCACCCGGAAGCCCCGGTTCATGAGTGCCTGGGCCCAGGTGATCATTGCCTCGATTCTGATCAGCGTGCAGCTGACTCTGGTGATAACCCTGATCATCATGGAGCCGCCCATGCCCATTCTGTCCTACCCAAGTATCAAGGAGGTCTACCTTATCTGCAATACCAGCAACCTGGGTGTAGTGGCTCCTTTGGGCTACAATGGGCTCCTCATCATGAGCTGCACCTACTATGCCTTCAAGACCCGCAATGTGCCCGCCAACTTCAACGAGGCCAAATACATCGCCTTCACCATGTACACCACCTGCATCATCTGGCTAGCTTTTGTGCCCATTTACTTTGGGAGCAACTACAAGATCATCACGACCTGCTTTGCAGTGAGCCTGAGTGTAACGGTGGCCCTGGGGTGCATGTTCACTCCCAAGATGTACATCATTATTGCCAAGCCCGAGAGGAATGTCCGCAGTGCCTTCACCACCTCCGACGTAGTCCGCATGCACGTGGGCGATGGCAAGCTGCCCTGCCGCTCCAACACTTTCCTCAACATTTTCCGAAGAAAGAAGCCAGGGGCAGGGAACACCAAGTGAGTTATTGAACCTGGGTTTGTCTCCCTTCTGTTTCCTCTCTCTCTCTCTCTCTCATCCCCGCATCCCCCTTCTTTTTCTCTTTCTCTCTATTTTCTTCTATCTGTCTGAAATATTTTCTTCCATTTGCCCAATGTTTTTCCATTTCTTTCTTAATATTTCTCCCTTTTCCAATATCACCTTCTGTCTCAGTAGGAATGTGGATCTGAAGGTCCTCTTTGTTTTCAAGGAGATTGGAACAGCAAACAGCTGAGCATGTTCTTGGTTGTTTTTTTTTGTTTGTTTGTTTGTTTTTTGCCTCAAACCTGAAGCTTCAATTCTACCAGTAACTTTTCCCTTTCACGTGGGTCTTCCCTCTACAGAGCATCAACATACCTCTGGAGTCTGGGTCGGAGAGGCAAGCACTAGAGCTAATTTCTAGCTTAGACCATGGTGAGAATAGATTCTGGTTTATTTTTATCATTCTAGAAACACATTATTATGACTCTGGGGGTAAGGGAAGGAAACTTAACACTTGGGGAAATTGCCATTTCAAAATTCAATTACAACTATGTACCCAGTATGTCCTGAAAAAGGCCCCTTGAGCAACTGTCTTATCATATCTCTTATTTTTTGAACTTTAATGTATATTATCCTAAAGATATTCTGAAATACTATGTGTAAATTAGGCCATGTCTATTACAAGGTCATGAGCAGAATGGTTTCTTAGTCACCAAGTACCCCAAGAGAGTAGTAATAACAAAGGACCAACTAGGGGTGATGAGCCCCAAACTTGAGAGTTGGTGTGAACATCGAAGTCCAGGCGATTTCTATCTGGATAATTCTTCCAGGCAGTTTGTGTAATAAAACCTTTTCTATGGTTTTCCTGATTTTGTTTTGAGAAGCATATGTTAAAATTTGTGTGGGTCATCTCTTTCTGAAAGCCATGAGAACAAATTTCATGCAACACTGTTAATTTTAAAAATGTCATTGATGCTTGGACTGTCTAAGGGTCATTGGATTATTCAAAAGTTAAGAATGTTTTCTTACAATCATCAGTTTTGATCTTTCAGACAATCTTCACAGAGATGAAGAATTTTAATAGCAGTAAGCATAACATACACATCATTTCATAATTATTCTAGCCACCTAAGTTCATCAGCAAGGGGCTGCATGCCATTTCCCCTGTTTTATAGATGAGGAAGCTAAACCACCATGAACTTGTGTAACTTTGAAATGTAATTCCACTGAGCCATTCTTTGCCAAGGTCTCCACTGGTATGAAATTTCTCATCTTAACACATGCTAAAAAATCCACATGCCTTGAGCTTCTGTGTTTTGTATCTTTATTTGCCAAGCAGCGACATGTGCATCTTTTACAGAATATACTTGGAGGATCCAATGAGGAAGTCTATGGAAACATCTTTTTGAAATCCATAGTTATTATTTCAAGTATAGTCATCCCTAAATTTTTTCAATGTTAACATGAATCCAATAACTTATGCCTACTTCCTGATGTATCAATTTTAAGTTCTTTATAAGATGTTGATCGTAAAAGTTTCTCAGTGATTGTTCTGCCATTTTTTTTTCAGGTTTTTGGCCAGCGCTGGGTTTGAACCTGCCACCTCTGGCATATGGGGCCAGCGCCCTACTCCTTTGAGCCACAGGTGCCGCCCCATTTTTTTTTTTTTAATTCTGGCCAACAACCCCTCAGTGGGAATGTTCTGGCAAGGAGTTATCAGGGCACATGAGAATGAAACAGCAATACCATGAAATGGTGGGGGGGGGGGATAGATAATTAGACAGAGTCCAGATGTAAAATGGCATCATAACAATTGTCATTAGGAGGGAAGGATTAAGAGGAAACAAAATGCAAAGGAAGAAGACACTGTTTGAACTGGAATGTCTGTAGGGGTGGAGAGATCCCTTTGATTGTATCACAGTGGCTTTCAGATGGTTCCGTTAGGCATCCTCCACCACCAGCTCTGTGTTTCTAACTTTGCTGCTTTAATTATGGTTCTTCTGAAACTTCCATATGATTTTCGGTGATGGGTCATTTCTAAAAACTCTTCTTCTAACCATTTAATGAAAAGAAATGTATATGATCAAGTATCTTGTGCCCGTGAATTTGCATCTTTGCAAGTTTCCTCAGTGCTTTTATGACCAGTCAGATGTGGATCCCTGTTTCAGAGAACCATGACTGGTGAATGGTATTCAGTGCTTGCTGCTGGGTGGGGTCAGGCTGTCTGATGCTGCGGTCATGACGCTGAGGGCTTCTCTAGAGGACTGCCAGTGCTGCAAGAGATCACCTTCCCATGCCTGGAACTGCCTTTCTTGCTGTCTGAGAATATTCCCTTCACCATTATGAATTTAGAAATTCATTTCATTTGGAATCTTTTTTTTTTTTTTTGCAGTTTTTGGCAGGGGCTAGGTTTGAACCCACCACCGGTTCAAACAAATTAGCTTGTTCTAAATTAACTGTATTTGTTGTGCAAGAAGTACTGGTTTTACCAGTAGATTGTTTAACTACTGTATGCCATTTCTCAAACATTATCAGGTTAGCATGATGAGAAATATATTTCTAATTAATAATTATAAAATGCAGCTTCCTAGCACACAATGTAGTTTCTCCAACATATACCACATGTATAAAATGGCCCATCGAAGAGGGAGGTTCTTATGGAAAACACTCCCTTGTTTACTCACTTTTCTCATTTATTTTTCCAGTGCTTCTACTGTAATTCTCCAGGAGACTGCAATTTCAAAGTATAACGATAATCTCAAAGCCTATCCATCTACCTTTTTTGTCACTTAATGGTTTCCTAGTTTGATTCCTAAGTTACAAAAACTACAAACAATCTAATATTTTCTATAGGAGCAAATATCTAGCACAGTTTTGTCCACTGAAGCAAGGGACTGAAAACTTCAGAGAACACAACATCCAATGAATTTATGACTATTCAGGATGTGTCGTTCCTATGATTGTGATGCACTGAGAGTGCTGAGCATTCTGCATATGTAGCTATAAACACAGAACAGATGCTGTACTGAAGAGCCTCCAACGGTCTCTCTCTCTGAATATTGTTCTGAGTTGTAAGTCAAGTGACATTCTCATGACAAGCTGCTTCTGAGATACTCAGTACATGGGAGGAATGATGTTACATATCTGTTTTTGCAATTTCTGCCTCAATCTTTAATTTTATGCACAGTCAAAGATGTGCCAACCAAAGTTTGAGCACTCACATTACATTTTCTGGAATGTAATTTGTGAAGAGATTAAACAATAAATTGGGTGTTTGGTTCACTTGAGTTATTTATAGTAGAAGTTCACTTAGTCATAACCCCCTCCTGGAAGATCAACTGAAGTTGACTTTGACATTTCTAATTTTCCTAGCTGTTATTTTGTTTATTTTTTTATTTTCTCTATATGTGTACATGTGTTTATTTGGTTTCCACTTTTTGCCTTCACAAAATTAAAGAGACTTAAAATTTAATAACAATAACAATGTTTTAAGATAAGGACTAGAAACAAAAACCTCATAAAGAACGAACAAAGATAAATACATTCGGAAAAGAAATCAGATGATTGCTGCAACAAAGTATTGAGCAATAATAATAATAATGCAAAAAAGTAATATTTACATTGTCAGATAAAAGCATGTCTATCATAGAATGCTTTGACTCTGAGGTTCAGTATGGAGTCATCAGTTAACTTCTTTTTTTTTCCAAAGTCCCAAAAAATAGACAACTAATATAAATAGTTATAAATAAAAATAGAAGATAATTTCAAAAAACAGATCATGCCAAATCTTATAGACAATACAAAAAGAAGAAATACTTCAAAATCATTCTATTTCATCTTGGATTTAATTTTGACCAAAGTACCTTATTCGAATAGTAAGTTTTTAATTCAACTTGTTAATATGTTGTTTAGGATACTGCGTCCTCATTTATAAGTGAAATAAGTTTATAATTGCCCTTTATTATAATATATTTTTTCCAATTTAATATCAGGTATATACAGATGAAGTATCCTAGCTGTTATTTTGATGTACTTAAATGGGAAAATGTTCTGGCCTAGGATAATATAAACATATTGGACTTAGAAATTTAAGTCTAGAGCTCGAGAGAGAGGTCTAGGCTAGAGCTCTAGACTTGAAGATCAATTGTCAGATTATTTAAAGTGGCCATGAGAGTGGCTATGACATGAAGAAAGAAGAGAATGGGGGAAGAACACTAGGGGACACTAACACTTCAGAGGTGAGATAAAGAAGGAAAATCTGGAGGCAATAAACAGAATGTGATCAAAAAGAATTTGTGAAACAAGAGGGTGCAGTATTATGGAAACCAAGGAGAGATCTGTCTCAGTTTGCTCAGGCCGCCATGACAACATAGCACAGGCTGAACAACTCACATAATAGAAATCTGTCTTCTTACAGTTCTGGAGACTGAGAGTCTGAGATCAGGGTTTTAATGAAAGCTGTGCCATGAGTTGCAGCCAGCTACTTCTGCCCGTGTGCTCACACAGCCTCTTCTTTATGTGAACAGAGAGAGAGAGAGAGAGAATAAGCGTTTATAATGACATTAATCCCATCCTAGGAGGCTCACCCTGATGACCTCATTTAAACTTACCTGATAGCCCAAAGGCTCTATCTCCAAATACTATCACATCTGGGGTTAGGGCGTCAGCACATGAATTTGTTGGGAGCACGTAAATTCAGGCCATAACAGACTGTTTTAGTAACATAGAACTAGTGATCAGATCCTTGGAATCACCACCAATTAAGGCTCTAAAACAGTGTTTTTCAACATTTTTTATCTCATGGCACACTTGAACCTATAGTTAAACTTCCACAGCATGCTTCAATTACATTGATCAAAAAAAAGAGTGAAGAAAATAATATACTTATGGTGCTTTGAACCTCGTTCAAAAATGATTTAAATTAATGATCTTCAATAATTGTCACGGCATACTGAAGATCCTCTCATGGCACATCAGTGCACCAGGGCACCCTGGTTGA